TCTCATCAAAACTTTTACATAAAATCTTCATTGTCACACAGTCAGTTTTACTTATCTGTATAGAAAAATAACTAAAACCTTCATAAAAGATTATTGATATTAAGTGTACTTCACTAATGTTATTTAATTTACACATATTTGAATAATATTAATTAACATTGCATGATGTTCATTTTAAAGTATGTTGAATACGAATAGTTGATTATTAAACAGCACATACTGAAAAATAAATTAGAAAAATATTAAATTTGAGTCCTTAATCAGCGAACTGTAAATAATAAGTGCCACTTACTTATAGTTAGACTTACTGTTTATCGGCTTAAATCACATCCTTGCAAGATAAATAAATAAATAATTATCGAAAATAAAATAAAATAATGAAACTTCCTTAATCAGTGTAAATAAGCATTTGGAAATAATAAATACCAATGAGCACGAGTATCACCAAAATAGAATTTATCAAAAAAGAAATGAAATAAGTTCGCGACTAGATAATAAATAAACTTACTTAGTTATGCACACATCGTTAGATCGAAATTGAACATTGAACACCTAAAGCAGTACTCGAAAAAAAACCAATTGTATAGAAGAAAGAAGATTACTAAAAATAGAATACTATTAAAACAAAATTTATTCTGTAAAAATGCACTAAAGAAAAACACATCTTATACATATTTGAATAAAAAAGAATATGAATAAAAAAACAAAGTTGATCGACCTAGCTGACTAGTCATTTATGTAAGATAAATATTATACAATGAGAGGGCTAACAATTTCTGTTCTGTTATTATATATATATTTGTCTTTATAGAAAAGATTACGACGCGTCAGTGTCTATTCGTTTCAAGTGTCTAAAAACAAGACGCATCTCATGTCTAACTTGTGCCTAAACTAAGCGTTAGACGCATACATTGTCTTGTAAGACACTTGGCATTTTTTACAGTGCATGATATGGTGAGAGAAAGTTCATTGAGAATCATATGATTCCTTCTTATTTTATTTTCTTACAGGTGTCACTGCTTTGTGGAAAGCATAAAAAATTCACTGTGAGACGAATAATATAAATATAAATGTAAAAATGTAAATGGTCTAATTATCCTTGATTGGTTTATTGCATTAGCTAATCACTGATCTATCACTTAACTTAGGTGTCATTACTTATTTTCATTGAGCTATTTTTTTCAAAAAGCATTTTCCGAATCCAAATATTAATTACTAAATCTTTCTATACTTTTATTGAAATTTAATTTTAGAAGATATTTTTTATGTCAACTTCTTTTAGCTTCGATTATCTGCCGGCAGATGTATTATCTTTGTCTGGCTATGATTTTTTTCTATTTATTAAGACTGTTCTTGGTGAACCAGAAGCTAAGCTACTAAATAAAATATCGATCAAATCAACAACATCCTTAATTCAAACTGAAGATCCACTTGATATCTTTAATTATGATATTGATGATGAAGAGTTAGAAAAATTAAAAGATGAACTTTCATTTAAATTAAAAAATAAAAAATTTATGCTCAAACCTGAAGTAATTTTAGGATTTCGCTCATTAAAAGATGCATTAAAAAAATAAG